CCTACCATATATAATCCATCATGGTCATCCTAAATCAAGATAACACTCTTACAAGGGCACAAGTGAACCTTACTGGAAATTCAAATCCAGAAGAGTGGGTGGGGGTGGTTGCTGTCTTTCTCAGAGAAGGTGATTTCACTTCTGTTGGTTGGTAAACTAGAAGGGACAACCTGCCATTGGGGAAAACACTTAACATTACTTATATAGACCCCCAAGAGGAGAATACAATGATATTATTTCCTAATCAGGTACTTTTGACCAAATTTATATCAAGCCCTTGGTGACCAGGCCAAGTGCTATAGACAACTAGGACTTCAGACTGTCCTTTCAAGGTGCAAAACAGCCATTATATGCTTTACCAGAAGGATCCAAGTCCAAAACTCTACCTAGTGAAATGGAATCTAACTTAAAAACACCTGTAGCAAATTAATGAAATACTCCCTTTTACTTAAAGTTGAAAAGTCCTAGTGTGAGAGAAGCAGATGACCACAAGATTTGGAAGTCATAGGACTTTGATTCAAATCTTTTATTTTGAGGGTACCCAATAAGAAGCAACTTATGGCTGCCATACATTTCTATTTTCATACTCTGCTTCTTTTTAACGACTTATATTAGTCCAGCAGGCATAATCCTGCCTTTGAGAATGAGTGTTATTGAAGGTTTTGCCCTATCTCCAACACTCATTGTGTAGTGCCCAGTCACTTCAGTTTTTTTAACCTGTAAAAGTCAACAATCCATGCATTTTAATTAAAAAAAAACTACCCTATATTTGTACACTTTCCTTTTCTCGACAATATTTTAAATTCTATAATATTGGCTTAATTAAAGATACTATCAATAGAATTATCATATGCTTCAATAGAATTACCATGTGCCCATGGGGATAAGCTATAATGCTCTTCAATAAAATTATCATGATATGTTTAAAGTGGACCAGGGACATGTATAAGTCATAGATATATTAATGGATATATGAGCTCACACTTAAAAGTAGCCCTAATCTAAGGACAATGAGTCCGTATCATGTGGCCCTACTTGATACTTGTCATCTTAAGAGCTCATTGAAGATAAGGGTACTATACAAAGTGTGGCAAAGAAATCAAATAGTGTCCGTACATCAGAAAGAATACCATCTTGGGTCTTAAAGGTTTATCTTAAAACAAGCAGCCATATATGTGAGGTGTCAGCTAAATCCACAGGAAAGAAGCACACCAGTTTGTGTGATTCAAGAGTGTAAATAATAAAATCCAAGACTGGAACAGGGAACTGTATTAGCATTTAAATTCTGAGCATCTGGTTAGCAGAAGGTTATGGATCACAGTGAAAACTCAAAACTCATTTTAGAGTCCTCACTTGGACTAAGCCCATGGATAATTCCCTCTGACCATTGTTCAGGGATATGACTAGCTTTGTTATCAGACAGAATGCATTGGAAAGTGGATTATTGTAGATGCAGTTAGGCTAAAATTTATTATTTGTTCTCACTTTTGACCCATTTTAAATTTGTTCTAGTTTTTGTTGTTTTCTGATTTCATTTCTATTGAGGTTTTTCTGTATTATTTATTTCTTCATAGTGTGTGTATATGTGGGTATTTCTTTATATAAATCTAGGACAGGTAAATCTATAGAGACAGTAACTTAGGGTTTTGGCAGGAAAGGTTGGGGGAAATGAGAAACTAATAATTAGTATGTGGTAGTCTGGGTAGACTAGAGAA